TACCATACGAAGATGAAGACCCAGGAGAGTACTTACGAAAGGTCTGCCAACACATGTGCTGACGAGCCTGTCCAACGAGTAAACGCACCACCACAAGCGTCTCCGCAGGTCTCTGACCCACTGTCTGCGGCCCCTCTCTTTTGCATCTATTTTCGAAGGGTTCCCGCCGCTGGCAGCCGTCGTGTTCCCGTTACCCTCAGTTTTGAAGGCGGCGGTTCCAGCAGACTGGTCTTCCGCACCCGCCCCGTCGATACCCACGCCATCCTCGTAATGCAACCCTAGGTCCACTCCAAGACGGACGGCAACGCCGACAATGTACCACAGCCCAGGGGCAACGGGTCTCAGCAGCGCAAAGCCCGCGAGCAGTAGCACAGCCTGCAGCTCCTCCAGGCCACCGCCGAAGCCGTCGGGACGGTCCGCTGCGGGAGAGGAACCCAGGAAGTTCTCTAGGTGCACAATGGCGGATGCGTGGTACTCCTCGGGCTGGTGCTGGTGGCCTGCAAGTCGCCGCTTCTTGCTACTCGGCGGTGATGATCGTGATTTTGTTGGTGAGCGCCCGTGATCCGACGTCGGCGAGCCCTCAGAGTCGGAACTGCCTAAGATGATGCCAGCGCCTATGGCAAACACGATGTTGAGCATGTACGACTCTCGTGATGTGCGGTGCCGTTCACCGGAAGCGTACACGCGCTCAAACATTTCCATAAACTCGCCCCGATGCAAGATGGGGATCTGTGGGTTTGCGTGCTCAAAGTACAGCTCAACAAGACGCGACCCGAGCTCTCGGTCTGGGAAGGGCGCCTGGCGTATGGTAGGTTTGGTTTGCAGGCCGAAGAAGGAGTCGCGCATCGAGGTGCCGCTGTCCACGACATTGCTCGTTACTTTGGCACCCCGGTTGCTGCCGCGCTCAGAGGAGGAGCCTGATACCGAGCTCTTGACGGCAGCAAACACGACGCGTGCAAAGGATATGCCGGATGTGGAGCCCAGATATCGCGGATCACTGGCGCCTTGCACCGAGACCATTCCGATGTTGGACACGAGCTTGGTGAGCTTCTCGCGATCGTACTTGTCGCTCTCCTCCTTGGCCTGGGCAGCCGAGGGTTTGGTATTGCCATTGCGCGGCGGCGGCGCAGCGGATATGGGTCGTGGGGTGGCGGCGCCATTGGAGGCAAAGGCCGGATTGAAGTCGTCGGCCTCTTGGAAGGGGATCGAGTTGTCGCGCAGGAGCGACTCGAGGTAGGCGATTCTGGTTTCGCAGTAGAATACATAGCTGTAGCGCTCGTCAGTCGTAGCCGAGGCGACCGCCAATAGCTCCCCTCCGTTGTGCGTACCTGCGCGGAATCTCACGCTTGGTGATGGGATCGTAGCCGACGCACTTGACGCCGGCCTTGTCGCATGAGGCGCACGAGGGCAGGCGCTGGTCGCAGCGGTTCTTGCGCAGCCGGCAGCGGTTGCAGGCGCTCACATTGCGGAAGGAGCTCGACGATGACGAGGAAGGCGCGGTGGGCGAGGCAGGCTTCACTGTCGATACGGACGACTCTGAGGGCGAGGGCCGGTCGCCGTCATGAGACGCCTCGTCCAAGGAGCGCTTGAGGCCGCTCATCAGGGCGCATGGCAAGAAAGTCCGCAGGGTTCGGGCTAGTGACAGCTCGCGCACGTCTGGCGTCTATTCTCCGAGCTCTCACTGAACGGGCGGGCAGCCTTCTTACTCCCCCGCACTCTGGATTAGGACGTCAGCGACAGCGTGAATAGGGCTGCGGATTGCGATTGCACGGGGAGGATGTCTTCCATTCTCCCAGCGGCACGCCGTAGTCGTCGCTTGCTCGTGGATGGCTAGCTGGTCGGCTACGGGCCTTATCTCTCCAGCGGAAGATAGGCGTGGGCGGAGTGTGGGTGCGGCTGCACGTCATGCTCGCCATGTGGGTAGACGTCTACTCTGCCATGCGGTATGGGGTGCGTCAAGCATCAACCTGTTCAAGATTCCATCTTCCTCCTCCCTCGCAGTTGCGTCATCGCTCAGCTACACATCAGTCCTGAGGTTGACATGGCTGCGGTGCTGATTGCAAGCCCGCGTAGTATTACTAAACTGCCTCGGCCTAGGTAAGCCGCCGTCGCGATCCTTCAACACCCAGGGACCACAAAAGGAAGAAGTTACTTTCGTCACTGCACGCACATATATGCCGTCCATGACCTCGTGATACCGTTTCATTGCCGAAGCAGCTATGCAAGGCGTCCGGTATCCGCATGTTGGCGGTCACTGACTCGCGATCCCCGTTGCTCCTCCACGTGCATGAAGCACACCGATCCAAGCACGTGTAGAAGGCAAAAGGAAGCATCCGTAACGTACAAGGGACCACTTCGACAATGCAAATTACCCACTACACCTGTTTTGCCCCTTCCGCTTAATCTTCAAGACAGACGCATTGAACTCACCGCTGGAGGCTTGCTCTGACTCGGATCCAGCTAATGCACTCTTCACGACGTACATGGCAAAACAAAGGTCTGGTGTTTGAGAAATCATCCAAATCATGAATTGGTGCTCGAGCACGCTAATCTAACATACAGTATAGCAAAGGAAACTAATAACTACTGGGGTATTCTGTTCTTGAGACAAACGCCGGCTCGGGGATGACCATTGCTAGTCTCCAATACAATCGAGCTTTCCCTTCTAATAGTGTTAACCCAAAAAATGCCGCCCGCGTAAATGATGTCGCTAAATCGCACCCATAATGATGCGCCGCGCGGGAGATGTAACCCTCATCTCTGCCGCGATAAAAAAAAAAAAGGTCTCTATAATCCGAAATTATGGTGTGAAAGGGAAGGTCGCTACCAGCGCGTCGACGCCGTGCAGAGGGCTTGTGCCACATCATGCAGGTCAAGGGGCGTCGTTACTGTTTTTTGGTCGTGATTGCGTGAATCTATTTGGAGAGGACGATCTCGATATCGTCCGGAGTAAGAGTGATGACGGACTCTGCATCTGAGTCGGAGTCGATGAAAGACTCCTCGTCTTGTGCAGCGAAGCTGGATCGCTTGGTCTCTGTGAGGGCGAAACCGGGGAGCCATCCGAGAAGAGCAACGGCGGCAATTGCCCACCAGGCGAGGCCAGACATGTGGAGAGTGGTACCGAGGCTGTCAACGGCACCCGAGATCGTGGGACCGAAGCCGCGAGAGATACTAGCAGAAGACATGGCGACGCCGTTCAGCGTGCCGAGAACCTTCTTAGATGGGGACGAGTTTGCGAGGATGATAGCCAGGGATGGGTAGGAGAGCGATTGGAAGGTGACCTTGGCGACAAGCAGAACCGCAAGTCCAGGGATGCGCAGGTTCTCGGGAAGGATAGCCAGGTAAGGAGCAAGGAGGTACAGGAGTGGGTAGCAGGCGAGAGTGATCCAGAAAGTGCGGAGGCTGCCGAGCCTCTTGCTGACCCAAGGGAAGAGAATGACCTGAGCGAACATCTGGAGGAAACCTTGCACTGCGAGGAACGCGCCGGTCGTTTGAGTAGACCATCCGAAACCTCCCTCAAAGCGGAAGGGAAGGTGTTGGCTACCCTCGGTTGGTACATGCTTGGACATGAGAATAGGTAGAAGCTGCTCTAGAGAGATGGTGTGGAAAGCAAGAATACCATAGCACACTACATTCAGGCACACTTGCTTGGTGAATGCTTGTCGGAAAGTCGGCGCTGGCTCGAATTGCTTGTCCAATTCGAATTCTGGGACCTCTGAGATGGAAGTTCGTGTGCTGCAGAGAGTAGGCGAAGTGTCGGTGCTGCGGTAAGCCTGTACGTTGTGGTCGTGGTCGCTCAACATCGAGCGCATCTCGTCAAGCGAAGCATCCTTGTCGTCAAATCTCGCATCTGCGTCACGCTTCCACAGCTTCTGTAGAAGCCATTGCCCCGCGTCGCGGCCTCGATCCTGGTCGTACTTGCGATCCTCGTGGGTCTCTTCCAAGAACAAAATACCGACAGTCAGGCCGAGAACGACAAAGCCGGTGCAGACCAAGTTTGGAAGAAGGAACGGGTACGTTTCGAAGATGGTGTCCTGGAAAAACGGCATTACGTTAGCGGGACGAGCGAGCAAGCCGCCAAGCGCTCCGCCAATGATGGTGCTACAAAAAGCGGTCAGCGTGGACAAGTCGGGCTGCTAGGAAAATATCTTACCCAAGGCACCAGACAAAGGGCATGATGGAATAAGCGCGCGCTATGGAAAGTCAGTCGTGCGCGGCGTATAATTAGAGTTATGGCAAAACTCACGCTGATGTCGCTCGTCCGTAACAAGCTCTGCGACAGTGGTCTGGAGAACGCCGATGTTCCTGCATATTCGGTTAGCGAGGCTCAGACGCTAGATCGAACTATGACCTCACCCGTTAAGCAAACCCCCGAGAGCCCGCGCAATCAACGCCATTGGTAGGCTCTGGGAAAAGCCGAAGAGCAACATGCTCAGCCCCGTCCCAAAAAGACCTCCAAGTAGGACCTTCTTCCGTCCTACCCGATCACTCAGTCGGCCCCAGAAAATGCCACTGACGCATTCCATGAATGCGAACGAGGATGTGACCATGCCCGTGTACATGGAAATTTGGGCGGTGGAATGTCCGGTCATGAAGGATTCGACCATGAAGTATGCGTAGGGAAATATCGACATGAATGCGATTGGTTCGCATATCCGGCATAACGCTACCGTCGTTAGCGACTTTCGTGTGCTGTTAGATCATGGCATGCTGCTCACCAAGTACGGCCATCTGTCGGGTTGGGAAAGGTGTTATATCGCTGCCGGCGGCAGCTGCCACGCCATACCGAGCCATGTTGATAGTATCGAAGTCGAATGTAAGGTGGTGTGCAGGTATAGAGGTGGAGGTCGTCGAAGAAGAATGTCAAATACTATGACAGCAGGTGGTGAATGTCAAGTGAAGTGGGAGTCAGCTGTGACAAATAAGACATGTGCGAGTTTGCGACAGATTAGTACCTCCAGGGCTCAGAGGTCAGAGTCAGTTTGCAAAGGACGCGAGCGTCACAGGGTATATAAGGAGCAGCAAGATTTAAGTGGCGTCCTGAAAACGGATAGACCACTGGGATGAGCAAGGATTGTGGCGGCGGGGAAGAAACGGAGAACAAGCGGTGATGGCAGTGGGTATGGATACGTAGTGTGGGCGGATAGGGACAGCGGAGGGACCAGCGAATGTAAAATGAGTAGCGGATCCGTGATGCCATCGTTGCTACGAAACAGCCCACCGTCTGTCGATAAGCGACCGGAAAATGCAGTGCTGGCAGCCGAGCTGTACCTAGCTCTGTTTTTTGTGACTCCATGTCACCGGACGGGCTCTGTGTGAGCATGCGAGAGCGAATGCAGGCCCCTGAAAGTGGGCCAGGGCTGGGCTGGGGAAGCTTTCTGCTCATCGAACAAACCGGTCCGGGTTGGGCGGAATCCACGACATTGGACGAGCTAGAAGGAACCGAGTAGGGCGGACCAGGGAGAGTTGCAAGAGCGTTGGACGTGGCTCGTAAGAGGAACAGGATCAACAGAGCAACCCGACTCCCCGGGACCCAAATCCTCGGCGCTAGAGATGCCCGCATGCCTCTACCGACATTCACAGGCACTAGCGCGCTGAGTCGCGCCACAGCAGGGGGGACCCTGTCGCTCTGTGAACGACATGGCAACATGCCGGCGACTTGCGGCTTGCTTTCCTTCCCTAAACGGACACGGCGGCTCAGAGGCCGATGCCCCGCCAGCAAATAGGACGTCGTGCCGCCAATGGTGTAGAACACAAGGCGATGCTAATTTTCGCAGCGCCCATTTCAGGGGCACCAGGACACCAAGCCGCGGTCAGACTTTTGACGTGAGGCGAGTCAGAAGATTCGCCGCAGAATTTCGAGAAGCAGCTTGGGCCATGCAGCTGGGGCCCTCGTTGTCATTGATGATGAGCGTCTGTCATGGCATCATACCTTGCTGCTTGATTGCTCCGACAAACCCCCAAAAAATAGCGGTGTACTGCATGCCTATTCGGCAGATGGACACCAACCGGTCACGCGGCAATGCGCATTAGACAACGTCGCTTTGTTGCAATGCCTGGCGATCCGGATGGTCGTCAGCGCCGCAAGGCACGAGTCGCGGCGCTTGAATGGCCGAGGAGGACGACGCAGCGCGTTTCGTATCCCTCAGATCGCGACCTGGCACTAGGCGTGCGGCGATTTCATTTGCTGCCCCAGGTATCATTTCTCTGCCCCCCTGTCCGGTCAGCGTGGTTTCGAAGCTTCCCACGCTTGCGCATTGGGCCCAACCGGGTCGCAGGACGTGGCTTGCTGCTTGCATCTGTCATTGCTGGTCACACATCGTGATTGCATTCTCATCAGTCATCAAGGCATCATAACCCTAGGACCCCCATCAGCTGACGAGGCTCTGCGCCCTTCTGCGGCAACGTAGCATCTGTACTGCTGCCCATTTCAGACCGCTTGATTAGGTTTTGCCAGCACTCCCATTTCCGGTGGGCCCCGGACATGCTTCCGTCATGTGCTGTAAGTGAGCTGTCGCTGTATACCAGCGATCTCTGCTTGCTGGTGCAAAGGTGTCCAGGGCACAACGGCTGTTTCGACGCAACCTGGCCTAAGCTGTCATGGCGGTGTGGATATGTAAGGCTGGCCTGCAGATTTCCACGCGAGGACAGGGTTCGCAAAGAGATGGAAGCGTCTGAGACAGCCACCGCCTTTTTTAGCGCCTCTAGGTTGACGCCCCCTGGCCCTCTTATTGCTCTGATGGAATCCTCCGAGAATGACACCATGCTTCTTTGCTCTTAGGCAATAGCATAACTCATAGCGTCGTGCCGCGACGAAGATGACAGCAGATGCAGGCGGCGTGGGTTGGAGAGATTTCGGAGGATTGGGGTGTTCACGCGCTTGTCGGCACGAGTGTACAAAAACGAAAAGCCAGCCTTGAAACCGGCAGCGTGGGTCGATCGGAATGATGCTGCCCGATCATTCTGCATCAGGTAGATGCTCGATGCGGCGTCGACTCTACGTGCGAGGCTTTGTCTGCCTTCTTTTGCTCGGTTGCGACGACGTGTAATACTGTCGCCTTAGGTTACCCATTATGGGCTAACTGGAGCCAGCGCATTTCGACCCGAGAGTTGTACGACGTGTGGTCATCAATCATCACCATTGCGGCACAGCGTCTCGAAATAAGCGTAGGAGGGCGAAAGTTGATTATCCTGATGCTGGTGTATAGGCTGGCTCGGCAAGCGCAAAGCGGGATGGCTAACCTCACGTCCCGACACAGGCGTTTCGAGACGACATAGGTGTGTGTGAGCCAGTTCTGCCCTGACTCGCCAGTGCCAACGGCGCATGCGGTCATGCACCCTCTCCGGGACTCTGACGTGAGTCCGGTGGTGTGCGTTCAGCCGGATCGTTGCGAGTGTGCCGGCACAGATGCTCGGTCGCAACATGCGGACAGAGTCTTGTCCCAGGGCCGCGCATGACGTCCCGCGTATGTCTGACATAGATGGACGACGGGACTGGAGCGGCAGCCCGGTATGGGGCGGGTGAGGAAGATGCATGCAGTGTTACCGCGAATATATCCAGACGTGGTGTAGGGATGGTGTTCGACAGGGCATTGCATCCACCGAATAATCATCAGCTCGACCTAATCAAACACCACTCACGAACTGCCACGTTGATGGGCAGCCGAGATCCCACGCGATGCTGCCATACGCGCATCTCCTTTCGCGACCCGGTGAGATACAGAATGGTGTTGGTGGTGTTGCACGCTCAACGAATGGCAGGCGGGGAAGCGCGTTATACTCAAGCAGGTGAGAACGCAGATCGGCTAGCACTAGCGTCGAACGCGCTTCGGCTCTCTATCGCAGGCGCCGTGCTTGCAAGATGCCGAACGACCTACAACCATCATCGCTGCTCTCGAGATGCCGTTGTCCGTCTCTGCGTCGGCTCTCCCGTCGTTTCGGAAGCAGCATCTTCTCGTCGAGTTGTGAGTCGAGGCACACGGCTAGCAGCGGCGTTTCCTAACTCTGCACAGCACCCGTCTGCGCTACGCACAGCTGGATGGCGTTTTCTTGAGCATCACGCCCGGCGACCCAACACTGTGGGTAGGTGTAATATTCGTGCAGAAAGGTAGGCTGTTCCATAGGGCTACGCCATGGTGTTGCGTTCCTTGCAACGTTATTCACGTTTGACAGGACCATATGCGCCAGCAGTCTTACGCTTCCAAATCTCCTTCCCGCCCAGCTATCCTGCTATACCCCCCCTCGTGACTTTTTCTACCGATGTCTTTCACCCACTGCTCACGCCACTTACCACATATACTTACACGACTGGCTCCGCCGACACGGATACCGTCAGTGCCACGGATGAGGAGCGGCTGCCACCTGGAGGCTTCAGTCTTCGGCACGGCTTTCCGCACTGGTTCGGCAGAGCTCGAAGATCTGTACCGAACTCTCGCGATGTCAGTGGATCTTCAAATGCTTTTCCCGTGCGGTCCGACTCCAACGTCACGTCTGGCGTCCTTGGGGCCTCTCAGTCTACTGCGGAGTACTCCATTGTGCGCATGCTAGAGTACATCCGCTCGACCTTTAGTGAGGAGTCAATATTGGACTCGCTTCCGTTAGAGGCTGCTGCAAACCCAGGCGCTTATCATGCGTGGCGGGCGCATCGGGCTCCGATATTGCAATCTCAACTGTCAGACCGAGCAACTCCGAGTCCCGACCCTTCTACGACGGATAAATCAGAAGGTACATCTGCATTGGGACGTAATCGGCGTCCTGGAGAGTGGAACTGGGAGGGAGTCTGGGAGGAACGCGTAAAAAAAGCAGTCAAGGCTAGTATATCGGAACCAGTCCTGTTCGGCGCTGGCGCTGGAGAAGACATAGTAGGTCGCAACAATATTTGACGAAGCCATTACTTACTCCTGTGATAGATTCGCTTTCGCGAGGCGGACGATGAGATGCACGAGAAGATGAAGAGGCACTTAGAAGTGGCTGCCGCACAATTGGGCGAGGCGTAATCGCTGGGTCATTGCTTGGATCATGGACGGCATCGGTTTCCTAGATGAAACATGAGCACGAAATGCACTACAGAAGCTCAGCATCGTTTTGAACGCGTCTTGATGCGAGATCGTGACTGTCTACTTTTCAGATTCAGGAAAGAGCATCGTAGGTTTGTTGACTCGCCCACCTCGCACCTTCCTGGCTTGTAGCAGTGCCTCTCACCTTCAGACCTCACCCCACCGTTGGACTGTCAACCTCTGTTTCCACATCCCACTCTTACATCTCAACTTGGGCATTGCCTACTCTTCTTATCTATCTCCGATATTCCGTTTGCCATCTGGCGACACTCTTGATCGAAAGGCCCCGCGCGCTCAAGGAACTGGAGGTGAACGTGAGCGCAGCGCGGTGACTGGGCTTTTATTTGTGCCTAATTGGGACGCGTCGATAATGATCACAACAACAGCAGCAGCTGGCAGCATCTTTCTGGACCGCACACCTCTCTGCCCACCTCCCCTCCACATCCAGAAGAAGTCGCGCAAAGCTACTTTCCGAAAGCGAATATTTCGTAAGTCAACTCCTACCTATAGCGACGATCAGTACGTGTCCGGTCCGCTAGACGACATCATCGACGAGATCAAGAGCGATATCTGGGTGTCCCCACCCGAATACAGCTTCAACTCACCCGTCTTTGATTGGGCGAACCCGCCCAGAGCACCTTTGTCGTGGACCGTAACACCTCTGCCTGTTAGTCGCGCTCCGAGCGACCAACCTCTTACGATGCGCAAGAACAGAAACAGTCGGTCCTCAGCCTCAGGATCCAGCTTTGGAGATCAGATGGCGTTCTCGCGCAAGAACAGTCAAGTCGAGCCCGAGAATGGCGGTCCGGTACGTTCTATGCACACCACTGCAGTCACCCTTTGGCCGTTGATCGATATGGCGTCCAACGAGCCTGCGCACCCTCTCTTCGTCGCCGATAGCGCTGAACACATGAACGCGCAACAGGCTCTCGAGAAGGCGGTTAGCAACACTGAAGGTAGCACCGAACCGCTGAAGCGGCGCATGTCATCAAAGCTTCGACTATTTACCAGTGGTCTACCTCTCTTACGTCGTCACAACACTGGAGAGACTAGCGCTGGTATTAGCGAGTCGCCGGATCCAACGTCTCCTACGACAGCTACAGCGCTTGCGGCTCACGATGAGGCCGGAGAAGACTCAGAGGTGAAGCACCCAGACGCTGAAGCTTTCGGGGCTTACCTGCTGCAAAACGCCCGCAAGTAAGTTATCACCTGCGAATTGGTGCAACAGTCACTAACAATACCCAGCGGAGACGAGTTCACCTCCCTTATGGGATGCATCTCGAAGCGCATTCCTTCCCCGACTGACTTTGATCATGAGGCTTCAGAAGCGCAGGTGTCAGACTCAACTTTATATCTGCCGACAACCCTGCGGGCAGCGGTAAGACTGTTTCCCGAGGTCAAGCTCCTCACCGAGGAATACCAAGACATCGGCGTTGCTATCGAAATTGAGGGTGTCCTGCACAACCGAAAGCCTCTGCCCGACGCCGGTATTGATGTGATCTTCGTGGTAGACAACGGGTCAGTGCCTGCATGATGGGGTCGATGATGCTAGCTGACATTGTGTACAGCTACTATGTGACTCCGGCTTGTCTCGAGAGGTCACTAGATGCGGTTAATGGAGCCTTGGTAAGCCACCATCGCTGATGCTGCTCAGAAGCAATCTGCTCACTTGTTTAGTATCATCTTGGCCCTAAAGATCGACTGGCGCTGTACACTACTCACTGTACCCACCTTGATGTCACCGGAAACAGGCCAGAGGTGCTTTATCCAATTCGACCCGTCTGTGCAGATGTCGATGAGATCTTCCGGGATTTGACGTCTAGGATCGCACATTCTGGTTCGCAGCTTTGGCATCCGCCTCGTCCAAACCCCTCCATGACTGATGTCATCCTTGGCATCGCCGGATCTATGGCGGCCGAGCACCTCAAGGCTGGTCGAACTCATGTCATCGTGCTGTCTCCTGCGGCTCATGTACTGCACAAAGTGTCGAAATCCTTCCCGGATATCTACATTCATTGCATCAATCCTGCGTTCCTCCCATATCGCCGCAAACCGGAGTTCCAGGATACCATCTGTCTTGAAGACTGCTGCAAGAACATTTTCGCTAGCAACTGGTCCAAGTATCAGTCCACGTCCGGTCGCATCAAGCGCATCTTGAAGAATGCTCGCTCTGAGAAACCCGTCGGCGAACTGACTGACTTGAAGGTCGACCTTCGGACCAAAGCAGGTTGTGAGATCCTCACTTTCTGTGGTTGTAAGGAGATTCGCCGACTGTTTCCAGGACAAGTGCACAATCTCTTCGTCTGGATTCGCATCAACAAGGCTGAGACTCGGGGCGTCAACCTCAACTCCGACAACCCCATCCTCAACTCATGCCTTGACGCCAATGGACTGAGACAGGAGCTGCAGAACTGTGTTAGTGTTGGTGCCACCAAGGTAAGCCCTCTCGACGTGCAGCTACTGCATCGCAGCTCACTCCACCCGACACGATCTTGGATGTATACGGAGGTTCCGCTTGTCCTCACCCGCGAGCTTGGCGGGTTAGCGCCGCTCCTGGATACATCCATGGAGTTCTACAAGCGTCAGCTTTTCTGCAACCTTTCTCGAGTGCCGGCGGACGAGGCTAAAGTCGTGGCTGAAGCAACCCTTAGCACCCTCCCGAGGAATCATGAACAAGCAAACATGCTACTGGAGCGCATGTCGCACGAGATCAAGCTTCACTTGGCGATCCGCAAGTATGAGAAGGAATACCGACAGAGGCTCCCGCTGTGCCCCGGTCCCACTGACATCGAAGCATCTCACAAGTGGCTTCGCGAGTTGTGGGCTTGTAGGAAGAACAAGCGCAGCGGCTCAGATGTTGCCTGATGCCTGTCTGCGAGCATATCTGCGATTCATCAAACTATAGTGGTGAAGGTCGGTGGTGGCTGTCAGCGCCTTTGTTTTTGGCTCGAAGCTGACGGCCAGAGGGTGGAGGGGAATACTGGCGATGCATGTGTTGGAACAGCGAATCTCGCTTTCGACTTTGGTCCATTGAAGGCCAGTACGATCTGGAACGATCTGTAGGATACACATCTGGCTTTCACGTTCTGGATCATCGTCTATGAGGCGCGGAGGAAGCCGCATCTTGCCCTGGAAAGCCCAGGCCGCACCATCCGAAAATGGTTCGCTGGGGGAATTTTGGGCCCCGGATCTTCTACGGTCCCAAAATTACGATGTACACACACTATTAGATTATTACCCCAGTGCGAACCATGAGCATCAAACGAGAGATCATCTTGCATACGAGATTGCAAATCTCCTCGTGCGGTTAATCGCCGGATGACGTTTGCGTTTTTGCTTTTTCGTTTCATCCCATATGCAGGTCGTCGTTTCTTTCTAGATGTAGAATCTCCCCGGTCGAACTCGGCTGAACACCCTCTTTGTCCACGGCAGGGCTCGGAAGTGGGAAAGAGGGCTGGGAAAAAGCAAGGCGAGGGTGCATCGGAGTCTACTCCGCCCAGTGCCCAGCCTGCATTCTGCAGCTCGATCGCGAGAGGGTTCGGAGGCCATTTCGCGGTTCACCGCCACCGCCGCTCAAACTGCACGATGCTAGCGGCGCATGTACGGACGAAGCTGAGATGCGAAAAACAAAAGATACATGCACCATGCACAGTGCACGCGATCCCTGAACCCAGACTTTTCATGATTCCGTTCCCACAAAACGCAACACCATCGTGCATGCAGCAGCTCACAGACGCGCAGACGCAGACAGGGTAAAAGCAGGTGCCGCATATACCCTCCGAGGCCTAGCATTGTCCCTCCGACAATCGCGTGCCGCTGCGAGGAACAAGCACAATTACCCTGACTTTGGCGCCAGCGTATAAGCTCGCTGCTATCAGCCGGGGAGTTGCCCCGGCGCCCGGCAGCCATGTACGCGTGGTAGTCGGGCGCCGATGTATGTAGGGATAAGGTTTGGGGCTAGCTGACGCGACGGCAGACGGGCCTTGTGGATGGATGCCCAAAGGCTGTTTTGGGGTAATGGGAATGGGGTACTCGTTGAACTTTGAATACGAATCGGATCGTACGATGAGCATGGGTTTGAGGTGGTGCTGGCGTGGGAGTAGATGGGCGAAGGGTACCCGGTAGCGTGTTGTGTGTGGGTTTAGTGCGTGGGAGGGTTGCATTGGCTTTGTTCTGGTGAGATATTATGTTTCCGGTGATGCATGTGGGTATTTGCAAGGAAGCAGTGTACAATGTGTATGCAGAGGGTTGTGGCTGAGAGGATTGCATGAGGCTCTCACCGCAAGAAAGTGATGCACGATGCATTGACCGAGAAGAGTAAGAGCGTCGTATTGTTGTTCTGTTATGCAGAGATAACATGGATGGTTGTACTGACATTGCCATTTACCTTATGCTATTGCTATACGACAGACGACTACATACATGATTGACACGGCCAATTATACAGTGTAGGTAAGGCCTTCGACTTGTATTAAGTAGGATTAGAAACTAGCTATACAGTACAGATTCTATATACAAAGAAGTGTTTCTGTAGCGCAGTAAATGGAGTAGCAGTGCAAAGTGACATGATCTAATGTATATAGAGCTTCAAGAAAGACGCCCCAGTAAGACCGTTGGAAGTGTAAGACGCATGGGATGCGTGGTGGAACGCTTCGTTCGACATCGGGCGTAATCATAATGACAGCCCATTGTACTGAAACTTGGAAGATACAGCTGTCGCCCGGAATATATCGACAGGCGACGAAGACTTCAAGGAGATATACTGCATGCAAAACCGTGGCCAAAGCCAAAAGGAAAAGCTCAAAACTTCGTCCCCACATCTTCAGGACACCATCTCGAGACCCCCTCTACCCTCCACAAGATAGAATCGCGATATCCAATCCCAAGTCCAATGCCTTTCTTATGCTTCTTCGGACTCGCTGTCTCGTCTCTCATGTCGCTCATGCTATTCACTTTGGCAAGAAGACTCATTCTCGGTCCCTCAAAACTCTTGTTCGAATTGACAATGAAGTTCGTCTTCACCGTCAAAGGCGACGAAGTAGGAGAGGAGTACGTCTTGTGAGGCGGAACCATGAGTTGACCGTGGCCAGCCAAGGGTGTCTTGCGGCGGAGTTGAATCAGCGATCGTTTCTTGAGAGGAGGCGGAGGGGTGAGATTTGGTCGTGGTGGAGTGAATTGATGCCAAGGTGGTGTTGGCGGACGTGATGACATGAGACTGGATGAACCGTTTGAAGTGCGTTTTATCTCTTCCCAGCCTTTGTTCCGAGGCACGGAGGTGATTGTTGGGGTTGGAGATGATGGCTGGACGAAGTATGTGGACTGGGTTATTGTTTTCTCGCTATCTGCTCGTTCGGAATGTGGTGGTGATGGGATGTTGTTGGGCGTGAGTGGCGTGTAGGCGTATTGGTCGTCTTTGTATGTGGAGAAGAGGATGCTACCAGTTGATCGAGGTTGTGTAGCTGATAGTGACTTTGCGGCTGCTATGCTTGGTAGTGAAGCCATGGACGTTTCGTCTTCTGACAGTATTGTAGGTAGATTTGGTCGCAACGGTGCTCTGCTTATAGGTGCTGGTGCATATACCATCACTGAATCTGGCGTTTCCGATCTTACATCGACTGGCAGAAGAAGGTCATGTTCGATTGGATCCGGAAGAGGATCGTCGGCGTGTCCCTCTCTAATAGATGCTAGGATCTTGCTCGCCCGACGCCAGGAAGGAGATATTGGTGGGACGTTCCTCGATTCGGAGTCTGGCGAAGGACAGCCACGAAAGCTCCTCAATGACCTTTGGCTCCTGACACTGCTTCGTCTCGACGATACTGAATGACTACGTTTCAAGCTGCAACCATTCATGATTGGACTTAGAGTTGGCGAAGGAATGTGGTGGTCGCCAAAGAGTGGTGTCAGAGACGCCGGTACAGGAGGAAGAGGTCTTTGCGGACCTGCGGCATACTTTTCCGCCGCCGCAGCAAGAGCAGACCCAGTTTCACTGGGCGAGGCAATTGCATCACTACTTCTCCAGTCCATGAAGGGGTCTTCAGGATCTGCAAATGGATTACCTGGGTCACTGTAGTTCTGCCCATCAATGTTAAACCAACTGCGAGGATCGTACTCCCGAGAGTTCTTCGGCACACGAGGCGGTGTTCTGCTTCCAGTGGAAGGCAAGCCACTTGCTCCACCAGACATGAAGATGAGTGCGTCATGGGACGCACTGCCACTGCCACCGTTCCCGCCAAGTGAAGGATCGTACAAGTACGCCTCTTTGGGGTAGATACCCGACGAGTTACCGCTTCCACGCTTTGCCGCATGAATGGCGTGGTAGCGACGAGCGACGAAGATCGCGGCGACTATAGCAAGTAGGATCCCAGCAGTGCTTCCTATAGCAACCCCGGCAGTCTCCTCTGGGGTAAGTGGCTTTGAGGGTGGAGCTGCGGCGGCCACTGTCTCGGTAGCACTGCTGGTGGGCGCGTTGGTCAAAGTTCGGGTCCTCAGGGTAGTGTCGTAGATGTTTGTAGACATCGAACTTATACTCGAGCTAAGTACCGAGCTCTCAGTCCTCGTCTTCGTCTTGGTTATGAAGCCGCTGAGCGACGTAGGAATAGAGAGAATAGCGGATGTGGCGGTAGATAAGAGAGGACTCAATGTAAACATGTCGCGCAAGGTACCTGATCCGGTCTCTTGGGAGCTGATGACAATACTAGCCGTAAACAATGGTGGGCTGGAAGTGGGAGTTCCGCCAGTGGCGCTGGAAGTTGAGCTGTTCGTCCACCCAGTAGGGGCCGTTTGAAGCGGAGGTTCAAGTGGAAACGGTAAAAGCCCCATGTTAACGGAGGATGACGCAGAGATTCCTAAAGCGGGGGTTGATCGTACAGTGGTTGTGTCGCTCAACCAAAGCGGTGCGTCTGAGATCTGCGCCGCCTGACTGGATGTGGCAGTGCTCAGGGTCTGACTAGTCGTAGACACGATGAAGGTTTGTGTGAAAGAGCCAGATAAGCCGAAAGATGACGAAATCATAGCAGTACTAGAGAGGCTGCTTGCCGCTGAGTATGTAGTTGCGAAAGCCAAGGAGGAGGAGACGGTGCCGTTTCCTGGTGCCGACAGAGATATCGACTCAGTTGTCCGCGCTGACGTCGTAGCAATTGAGCTTGCTGGCCTTGTCATGTTGCCGTTAATTGGATTGATGGGTATGGGTTGCGGCCGAATTGTGGTTCGAGAAGTAGTGTCTTCGAGCTTGGAGGATGCAGGAATGGTAACGCTGCCGCCCGAAGTCGAGCTATCGATCCGAGAGCTGCTAGATTGGACAGATGCGGTCACATTCGTTGCAGGAGCCTCGTTTGTTGTTACGCTAGGCTGAGCAGAGCTTGGTGGTATGCCCACGATCACTGAGCTCATAGAAGCTGCCAAGGATGCTGTTGTAGAAGTAATGCTCGCCAGAGGGAGTGAACCACTGGCGAGAGTCGGGGTTGATGAAGAACTGATTACACTGCTTTCGAGATGGGCTGACGCGGAGAGTGTTGCTGCCGACGTGTTAGATAATGCATTGCCCTGACCCGATGGCAGATTGGCATATCCTGTTGAAGCAGACGATCGTGCTGGTTGAGATGCGACACTGGTTGGTGTGGCCGCGTCTGTGGACGAAAGAGATGCGAGACTGCTGCCTCCAATGACCGCCGGAGCGGAGCTTGAAGCCACCCAGCTAGCAAGGCTAGACACAGAATATTCGAGTAGTTCTGTAGCCTTTGTGGGCTCACTGGTCGCTCCACCCTTTGAAGAGATCGAAGAAAGAAGTTTGCTCGAAGTGATCGCAGTAGCATCGACCGTAGAAGTCGAAGATAGAGGCTGCGAGGTCTGTGAAGGAAGTATCATCAGGCTTGATACAGCCGGAGGGGAAATGATCGCTGAGTACGTGCTGACAGGCAGAAGAATGCTTGACGCTCGTGATGAGTCCGCGATGACCCATGTTGCAGACGGGGTGGATATGCTCGTGGTCGACTTGACATCTGAAGTGACCGGAAGGACCTGAACTGTGGATGATGCGCGCGTAGAAGAAGAAGCTTCTGATGTAATCGAAAATGCTTGAGCAGGTATCGGTGTTTGTATTTGATCGATCAAAGAGATCAATGATGGTGCAGATAGCCGCTGCGTTCCTGTGATGACAAGGGATGTCGCTGCCGGCTCGTCCGCAGCAGAAGATGTAGCAGGCGCGCTACTACTTCCACTACTATATGGGCTCGTTGTTCTATCTGAGTATTGTTTCGTTGGATTTAATCTGCGAGAAGAGCTGGTCGTCTGGACAGTGGCTCTCGTCGGCGCGTTGATCTCGGACTTCGACGTCGTAATAGAGTCCACTGTTGTAGAAGTGTAGAGCGTCGATGTATCTGATGTGCTTAGGGTTTTTGGAATTATCTCTGATGTACTCGTGTCATTGCGAAAGTGCAAATCGCGCCGTGGAATTATAGGAGATCTTTCGTTCGTGAGATGTGTATTAGAGAGGCTTGCAGCTGCGTAACATAAGTAAGTGCAGTCATCTATCAGCGCTCCACTTACTCTTTGAACCTGATTCAACATCACTTGCAACTACCAAAGATGCAGTGCAACAAGCGAACAGAACACCCTCGAACCAACCCATTGCATGCTCACGAGATCTGAAACGAATGACTAGAGGAAAGCAAAGCAGAGTAACAACAACGAGGCGGAGGCAGCACGGCAGATACCCGGAGATGATGAAACAGACAACAAAGAGGCGACCTATAACTATTGAATCCCGCGCCTCTTGCCCAAAGGCCGTGGTCCTTCGTACGGTTGCACTTTGTTCGGACCGAGCTGGGTTAGGCGCGATGTACCTTGCATGGGTGCTGTAGGAACTGGGGCTGAGTCGACCACACCTTGCATACAACCCCGAGAATACTTACTGCAGCACCTATGATTAGCTCAGAATCCGGCTGTGGCGCTCGATCGTTCGCATATTGTGCATCAGCCGCCCGATCGTTTATAACAGTTGTCAGAAGTGGCAATTTGGTCGCATTACCCATGATGTGCTGCGCAAAATACCTTCTATTGACTTCGCTAAATTGACAGAAGAAGCCCTGCTGACTGCCGACCCCGATATTGACGTGGCGCAGCCCTCTCCAACCTCTACGACCTCGACAGTGCCTGTGCCGCTGATTCGGCTTCGCGCTAAAATTCCAACAAGCCTCTCGAAATTGCGGCGGGGCGTGTCTGGTTGGAACATGCAGTTCTCACTGACGCTGCTGGCCCCAGGCGGCTGGAACGGGTACGCTCCGTACCGCCCGTAGGAAGTGCCGCTCTTCCCTGTCATCACCGTGTCGAGGGAATCGTTCATGCACCAGTGGAGCCATCGCCGGTGACGACCTTGGCTTGGCTATCTCGAATAAGCTCCCCTATCCAAAGAGGCAGTGCTCGGATAATGGGAGTAATCGCTGGGCCAAGAATCAGTTGCCCACTCTTGACTGAGACTATCTGGTTGACCATGGCCTCGGCTACATCTTCAGGCTCCAGGATGTTTGCGCGAACACTTTTCAGCCCCGCCGCAATCGCCTCATGTGAGGTGATTGCTGACTTGGTCCAGTTGGGATGGACCATGGAGGTCTGGATCGTTGGACACTTGTAGCGATGCTTAATCTCTTGCGTTAATCCTTCGTGGAAAGCTAGGAGCGCCGCCTTGGTGGCGCTATAGTCTACGGCACCGGCGAGTGCAACGAAGGAAGCAAGACTTGCGACGCCCATGATGTGGCCCTTTTTCTTAGCAAGCATGTCTGGCAGAAACTCTTGGACGGTGCTCCAGTGACTCAGAAGATTGATGTCGAACATTCTGTTGAGGTTGGCTTGGGGGATGTCTTTTACAGTCCACGCGTTACCGATGCCAGCATTGTTGATTAGTATGGATGGTGAGCCCAAGTCGGAACGTATGGCTTCCGCCGCCTGATGGATGTTGTCTCGCGATGTGATGTCACACTTGTAGTATCGTACGAGAGCAAGCTCATCTAATATCATTAGTTTGAAACACAAGGATCCTGTGCCGCAACGGACCTTTGGTAAAGATTTCTGACAGGGGGCTAACGTCGAGCACAGCGACCCTGATGCCATGAGATGTGAGCTTCTTGACCACGCAACCTCCTATACCCGCCGAACCACCCGTGACTACAGCGACTTCATTCTTCCAATCCCAAATAGACTTGTCGGTCCTCCAGATCCATCGCCTTTCGGCAAAGCGATTGAGCACCGAGTTGAAGTCTACAAGGGCCCATATCGGCAACGCCCACTTGAGGTAGTAATGGAGGGTTACAAGCTGACTGCTGGAGAGACCGAGTTTCCCACCAAGTCTGAAGTACTCGGGTTTGGCAACTCTGAGTAGCACGGCTGCCAGTGTGAGCAAGGCACACCGGATCATGATGGGGCGAGTAGATGGGGCGTAAGCGTTTATTGAAAATGGGGGCTGATGGGGGTCGAGGCAGGTACTATGCAGGTACTGATACGAACTTCGGGGGCTTCCAAGAGAGGACAAAAGATAGGCAAACGATTGAACGCCTGTCCTAGGCAGAAGTAAATGCCTTAGAAGTCATATGTACTTTTGAGGTTTGCTGGGTACCGAGGCATGTAGGACTAGCCCGGACAAGCGTTGTAGATCATCGATCGGAACTGGAGCCGCCATTCGCTAGTCCCGCGACGCGATATTGACGATTGAAATATACAGGATTGAACGTATCTTCCTAACGACGCCACTTTCGCAACCAACGCATGTCGTTCGCTCGTCCGCATAGTCTGAGCGGTACGCTGACGCCGTTTCTGTATCCCGCGTTCCTCCACGTGCCACTTGCCTCGGCAGCGCGCAGATGTCCATTACGCAAACGCTTCTCGCTACAGCTCAGATGCAACTCCACGTCTGCTGAGCAGTCCGATGCGAATGCGAACGCTCAGTCTTCGCGATTAGATCCCACGGCGGACGACTATTCCCTCACGCCTTTTGCCGACCGATGCATTCTTACCGTTGAAGCTGGTGGCGGCGGCCACGGCTGCGTCTCTTTCTTGCGCGAAAAATACATTGAAGAAGGGCCTGCAAATGGCGGCGACGGTGGCAGTGGAGGAAATGTCTACATCCAAGCAGTCCGAGGCGAGACATCATTACATAAGCTTGCACGACGGCGACAGATCAAGGCTGGTAGAGGGCGCAATGGACAGGGCAAGGTCAAAGGTGGCGAGCGGGGGACCGACGTCTTGATCACGGTGCCTGTGGGGACTATCGTGCGCGAGCTACAAAGACACGATCCGGTGGCAATCATGGAGGAGGAGCACTGGAAGATGGAGCAGGCAACAGAGGAGGAGGAGTTGGAGGAGGGACAACCCAGCTATAGGAGAGACCGATGGCTGGTTTACCCCGGAACTGTACCCGCAGAGCTGAACAGGATCAAGTTCCCCAAACTTCCTCCGCCACGAAGATCGCATCTCGCAGCCCTCGAGCCGGAAGCGCCCATGTGGCTGGACTTGGACAAGCACATGGAGACGCCTTTGCTGATCGCAGCCGGAGCGATGGGTGGCCTGGGTAACCCGCACTTTATGACGCCGTTCAACAACAGGCCGAAGATGGCTACGCGCGGGGACGAAGGCCTGAAGATATCCCTACAATTAGAACTGAAGATTCTTGCGGATCTGGGACTGGTAGGGCTGCCCAACGCTGGAAAGAGTACGCTCCTCCGGGCCTTGAGCAACAGCCGTGCACGAGTCGGCAACTGGGCCTTTACGACCCTACAGCCAAATGTTGGCACTGTTGTTCTGGACGATCACAAGGGGCGACCACTTGTTAGGTCACGCAGACCAAATGGAGAGCTGCGAGAAAACTTTACTATTGCCGATGTGCCGGGCCTGATCGAAGATGCGCATCTAGACAAAGGGCTTGGACTAGGCTTCCTGCGACACATTGAACGCGCCGCAGTGCTCGCTTTCGTCATCGACCTCTCCGCCGGTGATGCCGTCGCAGCGCTCAAGCTACTCTGGCGCGAAGTGTCCGAGTACGAAACACTGCGCGGAAAGGAACTCAACGCCGAGACCGAGCGCAGGATGGTCACATACACACCCGCTGGTAGAGCACCACCGAGCGACGCATCCGACCTCCTCGACTCACCGCATTTGGATCCTTCACCGAAGCCTCTTCCCTTCCTGAGCACAACACCAATCTCGTCGAAGCCGTGGTTTGTTGTCGCGACGAAAGCGGATTTGCCGGATACGCAGGCCAACTTTGAGGCTCTTCGCGCGTATCTAGAGGAGGTGAGCAAAGGCGCACAACCCCATCCTAGTAACCGCAAGCATGCATGGCGCCGCAACGTACAGACTGTGCCGATTAGTGCGATGCAAGGAGAAGGTGTGCAGGTTATTCCGCAGTTAGTGATGGACTTGTTGGAGGAGTAGATATGTATAGCAATGATACCCTTGTCTCCTCTCTGGACATCTTTTTGGTCCTAGAGAATGCGTGCGCTTCACCTTGGACACAGGCCCTATGAATCTGCGCGGTATTGTTCCAAATTGACCACTTGCCCTGCATTCTGGTATTGAAATGTGCACGTCTTCAAATATAGATGTATGCATAAGACAACGTTTGGATGTCGCCACTATAACAACGACACTAGAGCGCTCCTTACCCATGTGCAGCCTCGCGAAGTGTAAGTGGGGTGGAGGGGTAAACATCACAGTCAGTTCCACTTGCCCAATTTTCTCGCTCGACTCCATTCACTATTCGTGATGCTGGCGCAAATACTGCTACTCTTGAACTGATTTGCATTGTATATGAAGGCGTCAAGTTGTTTTCCGTACATGTCGCGGACTGATATCCTTTGGTTGTAACTACACAGGTA